ATCACCCAACACAGCTCAACAACACATGGGAATCACCCAAAATAGCTGAAAAAACAGATGGGAATCACCCAATTCGCAGACAGAAACCAGAGGAAAAGGAAGGCAGAAACTGGAGCTGGAATTTCACTGTGAACAGTGCCGATTGTACACAATCTCAAGAACAGAAGCTTGCTTTCATTTTTTAATTCCAAAACCCCAAATTCACAGATTAAAAAAACCAAAAGAAGAGAAAAAAACTTACTTCTTTGAGAGGAGGAGGCGTCGCTGGAGGTATGAGGAGGAGGAAGACGGATGGCGGACGACGGAGGGAGAGAGAAGTCGCCGGCGGAGGGAGAGAGAAGTCGGCAGGGGTAGGTTTTGAGATCGGGGCGGATGAGAAGTCGGATAGGTTTAGATCGAGAAGGGAGAGATCGGAAGGATGAGAAGACGCGAGAAGCTAAGGTTTACGTCTGCTTGAGGAAGATGTTTGGAAGACGTTTTTAAGTGATTTGTCTTCTAAAAAACAAACAGTCTGCGCGTCCCTAATGTCTGCCCGCGTCTGCACGGCGCAGAAATAAGTGGTTAGAAGATCTTCACACCAAAAAACAAACACCCCCTAATTGTCAACAATCCCACAAACCAACTACCCCACCTGGGCGCGAGATGCATCACCGCCACCTACTCTTCTTCTCTCCGTTCATCACCACATGGATATGGTGTACTGATTGGCAGCATATATGTGTAGTCCGTTCAATCTCTCTCTCTCTCTTCTCTCTCTCTACGTTGTGCTGAAGAAGAGGAGGGCGATTGAGAATCGATGGCGGCGAAGAGCATCGCCGATGTCGGAGCGGAGGACTTGGTTCAAGTCGGACTCTCCCCGGAGGAAGCCGCGTCCCTCCACAGACAGCTGGAGGACGCAATTGCTCTGTCTCGCCGTCATCCGCCGGGATTGGACCCCCCTGTGGTTTGGCGGGAAATCACTGCTCGGAAGTTGCTGAAGCCGACGCACCCGCACGCTCTGCACCGGCTCCTCTACAGATCCGTCTACAGTAACTACGATGAATCCTCATCTGGCCCTCCTCTCTTTTGGTTCCCTTCTCTGTACTCCCTCTCTCCCTCTCTTTCTCTTGATTCAGTTTTAATGGCTATTTTGTGATCCCTCTATAAATTCCACTTGCACAGTCTTCTTCTTCTTCTGGAATCATCCGGTTTCCCAATTTTTTAGCGTGAGATTTATGCAGTTAATTGCAATCATTCCTTTATAGTTTTACCAATTGTGCATTGGCTAAGTTAGTTCATTAATTACTACCCTTTCTGTTGCAGAGATGAAGCTAAATCTACTAATTTAGGCCGTCTTATGGAAACACATGGTCCAAAAGTAATGGGGGCATCTTACAAGGACCCAATTGCAAGTTTTAAACAATTCCACAAGTTCTCTGTTGACCATCCTGAGGTTGGCTTTGATTAGATATATACACTTAATCTTAGAGGTTTTGTATCTTTATATTTCTCTTCTAAAGGTGATTTATAGGAAAGTTGAGACTTGTATATAGGCTAAAGCCCCTACATCTTGGGCTAGTTTGAATTTAAAACATTCTTACCAACTGTTGGAAATTTTAAAGTAAATTGGACATTTTTCGGACATAAATTCGGTTGGGTCCACAAAATTATTTTCCAAAATAATTATGGACGATTAATCTCGTAAGTAAGACGAACGTCTTGACATATGACACGTCATAAACGGTGCTCGGGTGAATGAGAAATTAATTCTCAAAGTTGAATGCTAAGGTAGAGTAAATGCCTTTGTCCCACACCGGTTTCTAAACCTTTCGTATTCTCATATTTAAGCTTAGGCATTGAATTGAGCTTATGAAAGGAACAAGAAGAGGACTCCTCGCGCGCCTGCCGCCGTCACGTCACGTCCGGCGAGGCGCGGCGCGGCGCGTCTGCGGCGTGGCTAATTTTTTACGAGACCGAATTGAACACGCGTGGACACTTCGTGATTAACGAAGTGCCGTCCAAAAGCATGCATGCACAAGGGAGGCGAAGAGGGTGCTGCGTCCCTTCGTAATTTCCGTCCAGTCCAAGCGAAGAGCCAACTCTCCTCCTATAAAAGGAGGGGTTGGTCGCAGGGAGAACTCACTCACTGGAAAATCTATCTCTCTGTCTCTGCATTCCAAAAAGTTCCGATAACTCCCCAACTCCGATCATCTTCTCCGGCAGTAACACCCATCGTTCTCGTTCGTCGGTGCACGGTTCTACCGCTCTAGGCCTTGCACGAAGCGGTTTTATCCTGGGAGGAGATTGTCCACGTTTGCCAGTGCGGGAGGCGGGCAATACTACCTTAAGGAAAGCTCCGGCGACTCCGCTTTCCTTACCCTTCTTTTGCTCTGGCGTTGTTCCTCTCTCCGTCCGCTCGTGTTCTTGCGTTCGTTCGAAGCATCTGAAGATTCCAAGTTTCATTTTTCTTTTATTTTTGTTGTAAAATCCGAACGTTTTATAAGTTCGGATTATTTTAATTTTATTTTCCCGCTGTAATAATCAACAATCATAAGGTAGTATAATGGAGTTCGGATTCGGCATCATGGGTTCCTCCGGCAACGGAATAAGTTCCGAAATTCCGGTGGAAACCTCTTCGGTCGCCATGGTTGTGCCATCCTCACCACTACCCTTCGGGGCAAGTGCGGGGGCCGCAACCATGACGTCGTTCTCAATGCCGAGCTCGATCTTCGGGTCGGCCCCTCGACCCATTCCCGGGCTCGAAACCACGGGGGATCACCCCGTCGGTAATTCGAACCCGTTTCTCGGACCGACTATGGCTTCGGCCTCGACAGTCAACTTTGGACCGAACGCGGGCGTTCCCACACCGGTCAACTTAGGACCGAACGTGGGTTTCCCCACACCGGTCAATCCATTTGTTGGACCCCATTAGGCGACTAACGGGCATTTCCTCCAAACGCCCAATGCAGTTGGGCCGATTACGGTGCCCGATAGTTCGGTTCAAAGGCCACCGAAGTTCAATGGGACGAACTTCAAAATGTGGCAACAAAAGATGATGTTCTTCATGACTGTCTTGGGATTTGCTGACTACCTGCAGCAAGATCCCCCCAGCCCAATGAAGCCAACGACCCCCTCATGGCGATGGTGAACCAAGCATGGTACCACAACAACTATCTCGCCATCAACATTATCCTTGAGGGGTTGGGAGATTCGTTGTACCCCGTCTACGCCAGTGCAACGCTTACCAAGGAGCTTTGGAATAGCTTGAACAAAAAGTATCAAGCTGAAGATGCCGGCACGGAAAAGTTCATCGTCGGGAAGATGCTGGACTACAAGATGGTCGACAGCAAATCGGTTGTCGCCCAGGCTGAGGAGCTTACGGTAATCTTCAACAAATGCAATGAAGAAAAAGTAGGCGTCAGCAAGGCCTTCCAAGTGGCGGCCATCATCCACAAACTTCCCAGGTCGTGGGAAGACTTCCAAGCCTACCTCAAGCTCAAGAGAACGGAGCTAAACCTGGAGCAACTGCTCACGCGGTTGAGGATCCGAGAGGAAGGGCTTGCTAGAAGAGGTGGAGGGGCAAAAGCGAATGTTGTAAAACATCCGTCGGGCTCTTCACATGGCGGGAAGGACAAGAAAAAAATGGGTCCTAAGGGTGGTGTTTCTAAATTTGCAGGAAAGTGCTACAATTGTGGCATTACTGGACATCGTTCCTCCGATTGTAGGAAAAAGAAGCCACAAAAGGGAAAGAAGAAAACCACTGAAGCCATGTGTGCAGAGCTTGACAACTTGGACCTCTGCGCGGTTGTCACCGAGGTGAATCTCGTCGGGTCAAACCCGAGGGAATGGTTTATGGACACAGGAGCCACACGCCATATTTGCTCAAATCGGAGCATGTTTCACGACTTCCAAGAGACCTCCGGTGACAAGGTGTGGATGGGAAATTCGGCCCAATCAGAGGTTCAAGGGATTGGAAAGATCAAGCTGAAAATGACTTCCGGCAAGGAGCTCACGCTCAACGACGTGCTCTATGTGCCAGACATTCGCAAGAATTTAGTGTCGGGGTCATTGTTGATCAAACACGGCTTTCGGATGGTGTTTGAATCAGACAAGCTAATCTTATCCAAGAAAGGGATTTTTATCGGGAAGGGTTACATTTCTGACGGGCTTGTTAAGCTTAATGTAATGACTGTTCATGAAAAGATTAATAAAAATCCCGTTGCTTATGTGTGTGAGTCTTCTAGTTTATGGCATGGTAGACTAGGACATGTTAATTATGCATCTCTCCGGAAATTAATTAACATGGAACACATACCTAAGTTTAGTATTGACTTAACTCACAAGTGTGAAACTTGTGTTGAGGCTAAGTCAACTCGAAGTTCGTTTCAATCGATCAAACGGAACACTCAACCTCTAGAGTTGGTTCACACCAACTTGTGTGATTTTCGAACAACGCCTTCAAGAGGAGGTAATAAGTACTTTATTACCTTCGTCGATGATAGCACGAAATATTGCTATATCTATTTACTAAAAAGTAAAGATGAAGCGTTAGACACTTTTATTCGATATAAGAATGAAGTGGAAAATCAACTCAATCGAAAAATCAAAGCATTGAGAAGCAATAGAGGTGGTGAGTATGATGCTCCACTTAATGAGTTTTGTGCACAGCATGGAATAGTGCATCAAGTAACCCCATCGTATACACCACAGTCTAACGGTGTAGCGGAGCGGAAAAATCGCACTCTGAAAGACATGATGAATGCGATGCTACTTAGTTCTGGGTTACCCCAGAACATGTGGGGGGAGGCTGTTTTATCAAGTAATTATTTACTGAATAAAATACCTCGTAAGAAACTTGACAAAACTCCGTATGAACTTTGGCATAATAGGAAACCTTCCTATAAGTATCTCAAAGTGTGGGAGTGTCTCGCGAAAGTACTTGCACCACCACCAAAGAAGATGAAGATCGGTCCAAAAACAGTTGATGGATTCTTCATCGGATACAATAGTACGTCGTATCGGTTCTTGGTGTACAAATCAGATAATCCTGAAATTCACAAGAACACAATCATTGAGTCACGGAATGCAACATTTTTCGAGCACATTTTTCCGTGCAAGTCAAGTGACGAAGCCAGTTCGTCCAAACGTTCTCATACTGAGATGATGGAAATGATGATCCAAATCAGTTGAATTCCGATGACGATGATGAAGTCGAACATGAGACTGAACTGAGACGAAGTAAAAGAATGCGAACTGAAAAGACGTTTGGTTCTGACTTCATAACATATCTGATAGAATTTGACAAAGGAACTTTGTCATTTTTAATGGAAAATGAACCCGATATTCTAACCTGTTTGGTAGAAAAGGAACCACGAACCTATCACGAGGCCGTAACCTCAACTGAGGGACCTCAGTGGCGAGAAGCCATAAAAAGTGAAGTTGATTCTATTCTTCAGAATCACACGTGGGAATTGGTTGATCTTCCTCCGGGGTGTAAACCATTAGGTTCCAAATGGGTCTTTCGAAGGAAAATGAAGCCTGACGGCTCCATTGACAAGTACAAAGCTAGACTTGTGATCAAGGGGTATAGCCAACGCGAGGGCTACGACTACTTTGATACTTACGCGCCTGTGACTAGGATAGATTCTATCAGAATGATCATCGCATTTGCATCCTTACGAAACCTGGATGTTTACCAAATGGATGTAAAGATTGCTTTTCTGAATGGCGAACTAGATGAAGAAATCTATATGGAACAACCCGAAGGGTTTATGGTTCTGGGCCAAGAAAAGAAGGTCTGCAAACTTGTGAAATCATTATATGGTCTTAAACAAGCGCCAAAAGTATGGCATGATAAGTTTGACGAGGTAATGATGAACAACGGTTTTAAGATAAATGAGTCGGATAAGTGCGTATACTTTAAAGACACATCTGAAGGGTATGTCATTTTATGTCTGTATGTAGACGACATACTTATCGTTGGAAGCAACGATAGGATGGTCAAATCCACCAAGTACATGTTGAACGCACGATTCGATATGAAGGATTTGGGTCTGGCTTATGTGATTCTTGGAATCAAAATACTAAGAAGACCGGATGGTCTGAGCTTGAGCCAATCCCACTACATTGACAAGATCCTTGAGAAATTCAACAAGGATGATACAAAGATAGCTAAGACGCCGATAGGCGTAAATGTTCACCTTGGTAAACACCGAGGGAGTAGCGATTCTGAGACAGAATACGCTAGAGTTATCGGAAGTCTGATGTATTTGATGAGCTGCACACGGCCAGACTTAGCTTGCGCCATTAGCAAACTAAGTAGGTATACTAGCAATCCGAGTGCTGAGCACTGGAAGGCCATAGTCCGAGTAATGAGATACCTTCGGTATACTCGAGATTATAGCCTATGCTATGGCAAGTATCCACCTGTGCTGGAAGGGTACACTGATGCCAATTGGATTGCGGATAATAAGGATTCAAAATCCAGAAGCGGATTTATCTTTATGTTAGCTGGTGCCGCTGTTTCCTGGAAATCCTCAAAACAGACATTAATTGCCAGATCCACCATGGAATCTGAGTTCATAGCACTAGACAAGTGTGCAGAACATGCCGAGTGGCTTCGGAATTTACTTGAGGATATTCCAAACTGGCCAGTTCCTCCTATTTGCATTTATTGTGACTGTCAGTCAGCAATAGGACGAGCTCAGAACAAATTGTATAATGGTAAGTCTAGGCACATTTGCCGTAGACACAAAACCATTAGGCAACTTCTCAATACGGGTATTATCTCGATTGACTATATCAAGTCAAAGGATAATTTAGCGGATCCATTAACCAAAGGGTTAACTAATGAGCAACATGAGAAGTTAGTAGTAGGAATGGGTCTGAAAGCCCTACCTTGTGCTGGGAACGTTCCATGAAGGAAAACCCAACCTGGGTGGTACCTGGGTTCAATGGGACAACCTACCTGTGGAATGAAGCACGGTCACTGTGGGGGCAAGCCGGATCACCGACTTAACACCCCTCCATTCCTACTGAGATATAGTGACTCCCGAAAACGATGAGGTTAGCATGGTGCTTTAATGATTCTTGAACTATGGACAACGAGGTCCAAGTGGAGTAATCGGGATACTCTTAGAAGAATCACCTATGTAAGAGTGAAGTGCGGTCGCTTCAACAGAAGGATTTCGGGCTGATCCTGTCTGACACTCTCGCAGAACCAGATGCGTGTTCCACGACCATAATGGGCACACCCATGAGAACGGAATGATGGTTGGTTGAAACTTGTGTATTGTATATCGTCGTTTACATAAACGGCAGTACAGTTCAAAGACATCACGTTCTACTGAACAGCCANCAGAGTTATTGCCAGTTACATGAATTAATTTTCATTCATGTGGGGGATTGTTGGAAATTTTAAAGTAAATTGGACATTTTTCGGACATAAATTCGGTTAGGTCCACAAAATTATTTTCCAAAATAATTATGGACGATTAATCTCGTAAGTAAGACGAACGTCTTGACATATGACACGTCATAAACCGTGCTCGGGTGAATGAGAAATTAATTCTCAAAGTTGAATGCTAAGGTAGAGTAAATGCCTTTGTCCCACACCGGTTTCTAAACCTTTCGTATTCTCATATTTAAGCTTAGGCATTGAATTGAGCTTATGAAAGGAACAAGAAGAGGACTCCTCGCGCGCCCGCCGCCGCCGTCCGTCCGGCTCGACGACGCGCGCGCGCGTGTGTCGCGTCGTGCCCGCGTCTGCGGCGTGGCTAATTTTTTACGAGACCGAATTGAACACGCGTGGACACTTCGTGATTAACGAAGTGCCGTCCAAAAGCATGCATGCACAAGGGAGGCGAAGAGGGTGCTGCGTCCCTTCGTAATTTCCGTCCAGTCCAAGCGAAGAGCCAACTCTCCTCCTATAAAAGGAGGGGTTGGTCGCAGGGAGAACTCACTCACTGGAAAATCTCTCTCTCTGTCTCTGCATTCCAAAAAGTTCCAATAACTCCCAACTCCGATCATCTTCTCCGGCAGTAACACCCATCGTTCTCGTTCGTCGGTGCACGGTTCTACCGCTCTAGGCCTTGCACGAAGCGGTTTTATCCTGGGAGGAGATTGTCCACGTTTGCCAGTGCGGGAGGCGGGCAATACTACCTTAAGGAAAGCTCCGGCGACTCCGCTTTCCTTACCCTTCTTTTGCTCCGGCGTTGTTCCTCTCTCCGTCCGCTCGTGTTCTTGCGTTCGTTCGAAGCATCTGAAGACTCCAAGTTTCATTTTTCTTTTATTTTTGTTGTAAAATCCGAACGTTTTATAAGTTCGGATTATTTTAATTTTATTTTCCCGCTGTAATAATCAACACCAACTACCAACGGATGTTGCTTACATCCTTTACAGATATACTGGTCATTCGTTTTGAGAGAGCTGGCAATTCAATTTCGGGAAGCGCCAAAGTGCATTCTGGATACCTCTGACAAATCCAAGCATGGAGGAACTTGGCTCCCTGGTTCAGTTCTTAATATTGCCGAATGTTGCTTGATGCCAAGTAGTTACCACAAAAAGCATGACGACAGCTTGGCCATTGTATGGAGGAATGAAGGGCATGATGATGAGGATGTTAGTTGCATGTCATTGAAAGAGCTCCGAGATAAAGTGATGTATGTTTGCATTAATTCTTGTTGCAAGTTACGATGTTCAACTAGAATTATTTTCAACCCAATTTATTTCAAAATTGGCATATAATTAAAGATAAAAAAAATGTTTATTAAAAACAACATAAACAATCTTACAAAACAAGAGGTGACAATACTATGTTATTTAATAGAATAAGCAGTGAAAATTGGTAAAGAGAGAATCAAAGTTTAACTGGGTGAATGGTAAGCAAAAGCTTATAGGGACGGAGTAGAAAATAACTACTCCGTAAATAAATACTCCGTATTAGAAAAAATATAGAATGAAATCATTCTGTTATTTAGTAATTGAAATACCTGATTTACTTTTAAAATCATTATTTTTATGGTAAAAATGATAAAATAGAATGTCAAATGATCAAACAATGAGGTTTAGGTCTTAGGGGACACATTTGTTGGGATAACTCTTGGCATTTTCTTCTGTCTTTAACAAGAAATTAGTTTGAGGATTAACTTGTGTATTTGGTTGTTTGTTGGTGGCACAGGTTAGTGGCAAATGCTCTTGATTCACATTTCTCAAAGGGAGATACTATTGCCATTGACATGCCAATGACTGAAAAAGCAGTCATTATTTACTTGGGAGTTATACTTGGAGGATTTTCTGTTGTGTCCATAGCTGATAGTTTCGCTCCCAAGGAAATAGCGACCCGTTTACGCATTTCCCAGGCTCGGGGTATCTTTACTCAGGTACTCCATCCGTTCTCTTCCCATGTTTTCTTAAGGTGTTTGCTCACACATGTGATTATGCATTGTCTTGTTTTTTTACGTGCATTGAAAATTATTAAGTTATCACTAAATACAGGATTTTATTGTGCGAGGAGGCAGGAGGTTTCCTTTATACAGGTAAATCCCTAAATGAATGCCGAAGTATGATACTAGACGAGTATATTAATGTGCTGCGTCTCATTCTAGACGAGTTATCTTGCTTTTGTGGTGCTTGTCTTATTTATATCGGCCTTTCTTTCTAATTTTAGCCAAGTTATCATGTGCGTGTGATGCTTTTCTTCTTAGTCGTGTTGTAGAAGCTGCTCCAAAGAAAGTCATTGTTATCCCTGCCATTGGAGATGATGTTCAAGTTCTGCTGAGGCATCAAGATTTGTCATGGAAAAGTTTTACTGCTAGTCCTCATGACCCTCCTAGGTAATGTACATAGTGACCTACATATAAGCATCAGTGGCGGAGGAAGGGGAGCAGTAGGGCGTGTGCCCCCATGAGGCATTTCCGGAAAAGGCGCCATGTGCAGGGATCGTAGGGGGGATCGTAGGGGATTTCGATGAAATATCAAATTACTTTAGTCTGGTGCCCTGAGAACTCAATCCTGCCTCCGCCACTGGATTCATTGTCATAGGTAACTTCTTTATTCTTCTAGTTTTCAAGTCTCCAAGTCGGTAATTACCTACCTTGGTAGACAATAGCTTAACCATTGTCATTGCTACATCGTTCTCCATACAAATCATAATCGGGTTGGAATCATTCATAATGCATGTTGGCAAATCAGAATAAAAAGATCAATTATAATCAATTATCTGCTATAACTCAAAACTTTATAAATGCATTTACGTTTCTATTATTTCTGCATGAAACTCTTAGCATTTAGTCGTAACATTTGACAGTATATTCTCTGGTTGCAGACCAAGTTATTACACACCGGTTTACCAACCAATAGACTCTATCACCAATATACTATTCTCTTCTGGAACAACAGGTCGAGAGTCAATCACTACAATATTTTTCTTATGCTTTTGCAGTTTGACATTTCTAGAACTTTATATTATCTATACCAGTTGTTAGAGTACATCCCACATCGAAAATCCAAGAGTAAAATAATCGGTATATAAGCTCTAGAGTTGAACTAGCTAATCGATTGGATTCAATCTTTTAATGTGGTTCAACCCAAGTGTCTTATTGCCCCAATCCAGTTGTCCATACCCATCCTAAATTCTTATCACCAGTGATCATATATAATATCCACTTTCAGGAGACCCAAAAGCAATACCTTGGACTCAACTCTCCCCCATGCGAGCTGCTGCAGATTCGTGGGCTCATTTTGATGTCAAAGCTGGAGATGTCTTTTGCTGGCCTACAAATTTGGGATGGGTTATGGGGCCTACGTTAGTATATGCCTGCCTCTTGACTGGTGCTACTATGGCCCTCTATCATGGATCTCCTTTAGGTCGTGGTTTTGGAAAATTTGTTCAGGTAAAATCCATATTACTTTGCCCTCTTATAAAGAATTTAAGGCTTAGATAATGTTTTTGCCCCTCTAACCCTCTCTATATACAAAGTAACAAGTGAAATTAGAGGGAAGTTTTATATGCTTGACTAAAACCAAATTTAAGTCGGGTTTTAAGGATAATTGACGGAAGGTCTTTTGTTAAACATACTAGTATGCATGTAAACAATTAAATACTCAAGCACGGCTTCCAAAACATTGATCACAATTCTTCATTATCTCTCCCTCTCTAAAATGATCAGGATTCAAGGGTCACTGTTCTGGGAACAGTCCCAAGCTTGGTGAAGGCTTGGAAAAGCACAGACTGTATGAAAGGCCTAAACTGGACTAGGATAAGGTACACTGAATTTTCATCAGCCTTTTATTGAAGTATTAAAACACAAATATCTAGCAAATGGTATATATTGACTTCACGGGGTTAAAGAAAAGTTTCAAAAAATGAAAAGCATGTGGTTGCGATTTGTTTAGAAGAGAGATAAATGTTGTGAGTCATATATTCTTTCTTTTTAGAGGGGAAAGAAATGTAACTTTTATTGTGAGAAACTTATTGCGGGACAGATGGCAAATGCAAAATATGATGCCTAACTGGATCAGGAATATTCGGCTGTGATGTGTCTGTTTATAGTGGTTTAAACACACAGGTTTGAAAACAAAACAATTCCAAGTTTATACTCCGTATAAAGTAGGATCTATATACAAAAGGAGGAATATTAATGTCAGCTACCAAAGAAATAAGACTTGTAATGTACTCCATCCACTTCACAATTAACTTCGCACTTTCCTTTTCCGTTGTTCCAAAATAAATTTTACACTTCACATTTTTCCTTTTAAGAAAGGAATGTGTGGCTCACATGGTTTCTCTTTCTTCTAAAAAAAATTCAGCCATGCATTTTTCATGTGTCAACAGTTTTCACTTTTCAACTTCTTTTTAAACTCGGTGATGTCAAACTGTCAATTTAATTGTGAGACGGAGTAAAATTAATGGATTAAATCTGCATGGCACCTCAAACTTTTAATGGCACAACTGATGAGAATATGCAGGGTATTTAGTACTACCGGAGAAGTCTCTAATGTCGATGATGACCTCTGGCTTACTTCAAGGGCTTTCTACAAACCCATTGTTGAGTGTTGTGGTGGCACAGAGCTTGCATCAACCTACATTGCCGGAAACCTCTTGCAGCCACAAGCTTTTGGAACATTTAGCTCAGCATCTATGGCTGTGGGCATTGTCATCCTTGACGAAGATGGTCATGCTTATGTATGACACTCCATCTTGTATAATGCTAATTACAGTTTTAAAATGCTTTCAATGTTTGATGCTGACATACTTCCCAAACAAATACTTAGCTATGACCCCGGAAACCATTCATGTTTAGGAAATATACAACGTTTCAATTTCATAAAGGTACAATCAATCAATCATTATTAGCCATGAACTTGACTTGTACTTTTATACTTAATATTGTAGTTTAACAGAACGTTTCATATTAATCTTGTTTATGATTCTTTTATATTTAAGAAAATATGAAAAGTTTGTTTTATGTGGGGTATGACCCATGACCATGCAATGCTGATTATTTCATGTTTCACAGCCAGATGATAAAGCTTGCATCGGCGAGGTTGGTTTGTTTCCTATCAATATGGGAGCTAGTGAGAGGCTACTGAATGCTGATCATGAAAAAGTATACTTTGAAGGAATGCCAATGCACAAAGGAATGGTAAGCATCAACTAAATGTCCTTGATGGTCCTACAAATATTGGAATATTTACTCTTCCGTTGTATTTCCAGCGGCTCAGGAGGCACAGTGACATCCTTAAAAGAACTGTTGGTGGTTATCTTATGGTGCAAGGGAGAGCTGATGACACAATGAATCTTGGGGGTATTAAAGTATGCCAAATGCCAATTCTTTTAACCCAAATCCAAATTCATCTCTGCTGTGTGTGTATTAAAACAGATTACATTTGTTTTTCAAACACCAAACAAGCGTGTTTTTCATTTTTTTTACATTTGTTTTTGAAAAATTAGGCTAAGAGAAATGTTTTATTTTTTGTGCTTATGCAGACAAGCTCGGTTGAAATAGAGCGTGTTTGCAATCTCGCCGACAGAAATGTTGTCGAAACAGCTGCTGTCAGTGCGTCGCCGGCAAGTGGTGGACCAGAAGAATTAGCTATATTTGTGGTGCTCAAAGAAGGATCTGAGATTTCAATAGAAGAGCTGAAGCCAAAATTCTCAAGGGCCATACAGAGCAGTCTCAATCCTTTGTTCAAGGTTTTGTTCCTCATCATAAAGCTTCTTTATATAGATATGCTTTCTTTAACACTGTGTTTGGTTCAAGGAATTTGAACGGGAAAAGAAAAGAAAATGAATTGGAAAATAGTTTTTCTTGAAGGAAAATTCAGATTCCTCCCATTTTAATGAGGAAAATGACAGAAAATCATTTTCTTTTCTTTTCCCTATCAAATTCTTTGAACCAAACATAGTGTAAAAGGAAAAAGAAAAGAAAACGAGAGGGAAAACAATTTTTCATATTTAGCTAGAGAGAAAAAGAAAAGAAAAGTCGGAGGAAAATAAAAAGAGAAGACCAAATGTATTAAGAGGAGGGAAAATTCAAATTTCTCTCATTTTGGTGAGGAAAAAGAGAGAAAACTGCTAAAGAGTATCCCACATCGGAACTTGTAGAGAAAATAAATCGGTATGTAAGCTCTTGAGCTGAACTAAGTAATCGATTGGATTCAATCTTTTAATGTGGTTCAGCCCAAGTGTCTTATTGCCCAATCCAGTGACCCATACCCCATCACAAATTCTATCAAAAACCATTTTCTTTTCTTATCCTTCTGAGTTTCTTGAACCAAACATAATGTAAGTGATTCGAAGTAAATGATTCATCCATGAAATGTAGTGTACTAGTGTACTCATTGTTCATGAAAACAGTCATAATGTTTAACGAAGATATTTGCTTCGGCGGGCCGACAGGTGAGGGCGGTAAGGATTGTTCCAAGCTTTCCAAGGACAGCTTCAAATAAGGTCATTAGGAGAGCTTTAAGGGATAAATGGAAGCATGAACTTCTCCTCCTTGCACACAGCAAGCTTTGAGCACAGGATGTGATCTACTCATAATCTGTCAAGCAAGATTTGAAAGTATTATTGAACAGGTTTTTATAATATGAATGAGTGTGGAATGCTTGTATTCTTATGTACAAACTATAATGCTTTATATAGCTGGCCAAAGGCAAAGAGTGTCAAGGAGGTAGGACTCGAGTGGAGTCCATTATATTATGCATAGGGTTTCTGCAAGTAACAGATGTAGGTTCCATTTTTTGTCACCAATTTGCAATCAAAGTACAATTTACCTCCTTTTAATGATCATCCGACTGAGTCTGAGGGGGCTCTCGAGTATGGAGCTCATTCTTTTTTTACAATGCTTTATGTACTCCCTTTGTCTGGAATTGTTCTCCCGGAAGGAGCGAGTAACACTCCTATCCCGGTTTCTCTATTTGTGTTCTGAGATTGAAGTTAGTTAACTTTTTAAAAGTTTTGTGCTTAAGGTATAGTTAGGACTTGGGAATAATGTAAAAGTCTTATAATTAGATTCCTTTAGTAGTTGGTTTTTAATGTTACCTCCAATTTGAAGTATTTATCTACGCCCAATATGATCCAAATATTAGTCAGGAGTTTTTTGAAATGTGATTTGTTTTTTGACAATCATCAATGGAACACTAAGCATTAATAACAATGTTTGTACATTATTAAATGAATATATTCCCTATGTTTATAATATATCTTTTCACTTTTCTTATTTGCCTGTTTATAAATTATTTTTTCATTCTTTGGAAAATGCTTTTTTAAACAAATCACTAGCCTCACTTTTACTCGTTAATTAGTATTCATATTTTCACTTCTTTTTGCAATGACACAATGACAAATATAGTACTCCCTCCGTCTCGTTTTAAATTGTCTGTTTTGACTTTTGGAAATATTTAAGAAAAAGAAAAAGTAGAGTTGATTTTATAAAATTGTCATTACTTTTTAGGAGGAATGACGATGAATGAAAAGATAAAGTGGAGGAGTGTGACTTGTTTTAAGAGTAGTTTAGGTATTTTACTTTTAAACGTTTACGATAACAAGTAACAGACAATTTATTTTCAGACGGAGAAAAAAGACAAACAGACAATTTAAAATGAGATAGAGAGAGTAGGTCATTAAAATTTTTTACGTTTTCTTAGTTTGTGTGTAAAACCAAAGCAAGAAAATAATTTTTGGCCGAAAAGAAGACTTTTTCCACAAATCATGCTCAAAGCTTGATACAAAAAGTTTTCTTTTAGATAGATGCCACAAAAAAACTTTTTAAATTTTTTTTATTGTGTAATCATATGCAATCCAATCCACACTACTAGGAGTATAAGTTTTGGCAATTTTGTTGTTTTGGCAATGGGAAAATGGCACAGCTATTATTAATTACACCAAAAGTTCCAGTTCAATTGTTGGTGTAATTTCAATTGTTACCAGAAGACTACCAAAACACAGTATTTACAATTTTACCACGAATGAACCGAAACCCGATACAAATGGATTGTGGATGTAGAAAGGATTACCCCAAAGATTAAAAAAAAGGCTTGCACAACAACTATGAAAAGGTAAAACTGCTACAGAGCACTAAAGTAAAAAAAAAGACCATAACCAAACCATGTAGTAGCTAGCATCAACCTGAGAACAAATACTAAAGTGTCGTCATACTGGTGCTGGTTGAGTGGTAACGGGTAACACGCTTGGGGGCCGTGTTTCGCAGACCGTACATTTGTATGGGAGAGTCTCGGAGATGGTCATTCAAATCTCCTGTAAAGCTGTCAACACTAAAGTCAGACTGGTACTCGTTTTCCCCGGTAGCGATCAAAGAACTGCATATGAATATAGGAAAACCATTGAGTGAGGAGGCATTAGATATTTCAATCTTGTTACATAAAGTCTTTTTTCTGTTGTGTGGGTACCCGTTGTATACAACAGAAACAACAAACCTAGTCGAATCCCACAAAAAAGTAGGGTCTAGCAAGGGCGAGGGTGCACAGACCTTGCTTCCACTTTGGTTGGTCGTTGGTGGATTTACAAGGAAGAGGAAAGAAAGAGTTCTATTTTTTTTCTTCGCTAAAATGGAAGTAAAGTTGTTTTCTCTTCTTAGTGTGTTTTCGTCTCTCATTTCTTTCCCTTTCCACTAACCAAAAAAGAAAAATGTTTTGGGTATCATTTTACGTTTCAACACTTTTAACGTCTGTGAAGTCAAACCATGGAGTTTAACTCATGATGATGGGAGTATTAAGCATATTGATCTCAATAAGCTGTTCGCAAAAAATAACCACCAATCAATCCATGCAATGTAAGATAGTAGCACTCTTTCCATGTATCCCGCACAGTACTGAGTGAGAAACACGTTTTTTTATTGAGAAACATTTTTTATAAACAAATGTAAGGTGACATACCGATCTAACAAAAGGCTGCTGAAAGAGCCATCCAAGAATAGGTATCTTTTGCAGGAAAACTGCCAAAGTCGGCCAGAACCCACTGTTCAAAAAACTAGTCAGCAACCTACTAGAATAACTCAAGTCGAAACACAGAAAAAACTCAAGGCAACACTACATTCAATATAACGCACTAACCTGAAAAGCACAACAAAACCATAAGCCTCAAGAATCATCCCCAAGATAGGCCATCCAATGATAACCAAGAAAAAACCAACTCCGAATGACACTGTTCCCTATGCAATGATTGAATGAAAACCCAACTGTGAGTATATAATTAAAAACATGTCATAAAATACAAAGGCACATAGATGATGTGTTTAACTGACACATGAAATTAGAGAGGGAAAGTGTTTATAGAATACAGCGTTGGAGGGTATCACAAAACGGGCAGTAACCTTATAGTTGCTACGTTTCATGAAGAACTGCAAGGATGGCTTCAGACCAATTGTTAAGGCCACCCCTGATACAAAGAGAATCTGGTTCAACAAAATAGATGTATGTTAATGGGATGCATGAGGATAAAAATATAAGAAAATCAAGAGATATTACACACAAAAGATTATTGAAAGGCCACTTACATTTCCCATGGCAATTAGCCCCTTGTCAAAGAAGAAGATGATTCCTAAGAATGAAAAGAACACTCCAAACCCTGTCAACCCTAGCCCAATCTCTGTTTCAACAACGCACCATAAGTTTCTTTGGAAACATGAGCAATATAAATGAACAGAGGAAGACCAATGCTGCTAAGCTGGAATGCTGACTTAGATGAAGCGCTGAGTAAATATTTAACCAAATGAAAAATAGTTAAACCTAAGCAAGGGTCATCATATTGATAGCCAAAAGTTAGTCACCTCATGTCCTCGGGAAATTTTAAGATTTTGCCTATCGAAAAGAGTGCAGAATCTCTTCATCACTCTATAGGATATATCTTTTGACTTATTATTACAGAAAGATATGTGAATTGTAATTCCCATATGTACACAGTTTGCATACCAGATTCTCACACATCAAGTTTAATAACCAAAGTGTAAGCAGTTCTAATATTCATTTATATACTGACAATAGTCAGAAAACGTCTTCTTCTACAGAGTCAGTGTTTTACTATGCACGAGTTAGAGAAACGGTAAGCTCAGCCAAAACCTCCCTCAAATCAAAGGAATGCAAGGCCAGAAAAAATTAACGAATCAAGCATCCGTTTCATTCTACAATTCAGTTTTTCAGTAGATAAATCAGAGAGCGAAGAAGCGGACTTACTTTTTCGATCGTTCATCTCGAACGAAACCATTTCCACGGATTCGGGTAATCGTTGAACCGGATAGAAACCTAAAAAACCACAGAAAACTCTTCAACGATGACAAATTAGTCAGATAGAGTGCCGCAATAGATATTCAAACAAGATCTGGATCGATGATATCACAGTCCGATAGGGGAAATCGAGTCATTCAATCGTATATAAATACAGACAGAAAACAAGCAATTAGAGAGAGAGAGGGAGAGGAAGATCACCGGTTCGCTGCCGTGCACGCGGTGGAGTTGTCGGAGCAGATCGCCGGGGCTGAGTGGGGGCGTTAACGGCGGATGAGGGAGATTGGTCTTATTTACTCCTTAGATGCAAAGCAACGCAACCGTATTGGCCGGCTGACGTTTTATTTCCAGCAATTCGTCTACTTTTAACTTTTGGAACGGTTCATCTAAGCATTTTGACTCATCAAATTCTCTCAATGTGTAAGCCTAAATATAGTAATGTGTGATCTTGTTTGATTTGTTTTAACATATAGATTATTAATATATGATTTCTATAATTTTTTAATATACAAATTACAAGATAAAATGAGTTAAAAAAGTGTATTGGATGGTGTGTAAAAATGAAAGTGGACGGAGGTAGTAGTTTTTTTTTTTTGAAAAACTAGTTAAAAATACTCATGACAAATCATAAATGGAGTGCTATGGTGCACTTTGGTACAATTTTTTAATTTTATATTTAAGAAATAGATACGGAGTATTTATTTAAGTAGTAAGAAAATGCTTATTTTGCTCATATATAATTTGAAAAAATGAAGTCTTTGGTGACTTTGGAAAGGTACGATTACAGAAGATAGAACTCTTGATGTGACGGACATGGGTGACATAGTGGTGTAGAACCTAGTCGGTTTTTAGAATTTAAAAGATGTTAGAGTGATTCCAGCATTGAAGAAAAGTTTAATTTCTTTCAAGAAGTTGGACAAAGAGGGAAACAATGGGAAGTCCGAAGATGTATAGTGAAAAGTTGTGAATGGGAGTGACCGTCCTAGTTCAAAATATAAACAACATCTGAGTTTCATTATGTCTCGATTCTCGTAGCTATTTGTGTGTGTTGTATGTTTATTTTCTAACACTATAATTATACATACTAACACAAAATATTAGTAGGATCGTAAAAATTCACCTCGCATCTTGTGCCAATATGAGCACGTGCAAACCCTTGACATGGAAGTTGATGCACATAACATGGTTGTTATGCAAAACCTTGGCTAATGTTTGCTGTCTCTCTCTCACCATGTCCCCTCCACCCTTCAACGGAATTTTTAAGAAAAAAAAAGCATGTCCGTAGGTGTTGCACAGTTGGCAAAGCCAATGAGTGTCAAGAGAATAGATACGAGTTCTATTTTTAACAACTGCGCTGTGAAGCAATTATACTAAACATAAGGTCTCTCCAAGTACCAAGTGCAGGCTCCATTTCTTACTACTGATCTGCGATTAAAGTTTAATTTACCTCCTTTCAGTGACCATCCGGTCGGATTTGAGGAGAGACCCTCAGGGATGGGGTCATCCTTCAAGAAAAAACCATCTTTAGAAAATGAATATGTTGGCATATTCAGATTCATTCAACTTTTCATTTTGTAAAATCTTTATCTTATACCCATGGGTGCCTCTTCTTTTCCGTCTTCTTCATAAACTCTCCTCCTAAGATAGAAAAAGACCATTGGTGCAATGTTTTTAGAAGTTCAGAGACCATTGATGTAATTTTTAAAATTCAGTAGGAATCCATACATTTTTGAAGTGTGTGAGATAAATGGCGCAAAAAATTTGATGAAAAATTAACTTTTTAAAAAATAGAAACGACAAGAAGTCATATTTCTCAAACATTTGTGCCAATATTCGCATGGAACACGGAGCTTTTAGGTCATTTTAATTTCAATTTTGAGTTATTCAATTTAAGTAATTGATTCCAGATATATTTTTATAATATTAAATGTATTTCTGATACTTAAATTATTGGCACTCCACATGTCCCATTTTAAATTGCATGTTTTTCTTTTTTCTACGTCTCAAAACAATTTGCTTTTTTCTTGTTATCATAAACTTTTAAGAGTAAAATACGTAAACCACCTTTAAAATAAATCACTCTTCTCCACCTTATTTTCTCATTCATTGTGACCCCTCCTAAAAAATAATAACAATTTCAGAAACTCAACTCTATTCTTTCTCTTCTTTAAATATGCTCCAAAGTCAAAACGGTCGATTTAAAACGGGACGGAAGGAGTACGAAACTTAATGTAAGAAGAAAATGATGAATCTCATCCCTAAGTGCCCTTCAAAACCGGCCGGACGACTACGTATAGACTTTAATCACATATTGGTAGAAAAATGATTAGAACTTGCAATTGATATTTGTAGAAATCTTATATTTAGAATTTCTCCCAACGTATTTACTAGGAATCAAACTTTTGTGTTGACAGAAAACGAACTCAGATATTACCTCCTGAACACCCTGACACTGTTTACATTGTCATCGACTGTGCAATGCCTACCGACAAAAACTTAATAAATAAAAACTTGGGTCATTAATGCTCATTATTTTTTTAAAAAAAATGTCAGCTTGCTGAAGATTATGCAAAACCTTGGCTAATGTTAGCTGTCTCTCTGTCAGCATGTCCCCTCCACCCTTCAATGGAATCTTAAAAAAAAATGAATCTGTTACCAAATTCTGATGGACCATGCTACACTTACACCAAAAAAATATACTCCATTTGTACACTACAGGTTTGCACAAACATTTCGATGATTTACACCGACACAAGAGTTGGTGCGTTAATAAAAATTCACACGGACAGAAATGTTGGTGCGTTTAATAAAAGTTAGTTTTACACCAACACAAAGTGTTGGTGCAAAACTGCGGGGTACAAATTGAGGTACAAATCTTTGGGTACACATAGCATAATCCAATTCTGATTCATCATTCATTCAGATTTTCATTTCATAGAATCTTTCCTGTTATGCCCATGGGTCCTTCTTCTCCATCTTCTTCAGAAACTCTCCTTCAAGGCGAAGAAGAGGAAAAGCAGTCACAGTCTCCCGCCTCCGGAAACTCCAGGAAACTAGCGCTGCTCCCCCTGATCTTCCTCATCTACTTCGAGGTCGCCGGCGGTCCGTACGGCGCGGAATCGGCGGTGGGCGCGGCGGGGCCTCTCCCGGCCATCCTCGGATTCCTAGTCTTCCCCTTCGTCTGGAGCCTCCCGGAGGCCCTGGTGACGGCCGAGCTCGCCACCGCCTTCCCCGGAAACGGCGGGTTCGTGATCTGGGCCCACAAGGCCTTCGGCCCGTTCTGGGGATCCATGATGGGCTCCTGGAAGCTCGTCAGCGGCGTCGTCAACCTCGCGACTTACCCCTCTCTCTGCGTCGATTATCTCAAATTGGTTTTCCCCGTTTTCTCATCCGGAAACCCTAGAATCCTCGCGAATTTCTCCATTACTCTGTTTCTTTCCCTCTTGAATTACTCTGGCCTTTCGATTGTAGGGTCCACTGCCCTCTGCCTAGGGCTACTGTCCCTTTCCCCATTTTTGGTCCTCTCCGTGATTTCAATCCCTAGAATTGACCCAAAAAGATGGGTGAGTTTAGGGGAGGAGGGTGCCCCTAAAAATTGGACTCTATTCTTGAATACCCTTTTCTGGAATTTGAATTTCTGGGACAGTGCCAGTACTTTAGCAGGGGAAGTTGAGAACCCCCAAAGAACATTCCCAACGGCGCTATTCTCGGCGGGGATCCTGACCTGTTTGGCCTACTTGATCCCGCTCCTCGCCACCACGGGGTCCACCCCGCTCGACCAGGCGGGGTGGACCAACGGGCACTTTGCTGACGTGGCGGAGTCGGTTTCTGGCGGGAAATGGCTCAAGTACTGGGTAGAGGTCGGGTCGGTCTTGTCTGCAGTTGGGCTTTACGAAGCCCAACTGAGCAGTTGCGCGTACCAGATCCTCGGCATGGCCGAGATCGGGGCGGTCCCGCGGGCCCTCGACGCCCGCTCGGAGCGGTTTGACACCCCGTGGGTTGGGGTCGTGGGCCCCACACTCGTCGCACTTGCGGTCTCGTGCGCGGACTTTGCGAGCGTCGTGTCGTCGGTGAACTTCCTCTACGGCCTCGGGATGCTGCTCGAGTTTGGGTCGTTTCTGTGGCTGAGAGTGAAGATGCCGGACGCAAAGAGGCCTTACAAGGTGCCATTGTCGCTCCCATGGCTTGTGGTCATGTGCTTGGTTCCCTCTGGTTTTCTGGTCTATGTGATGGCTGATGCCACTAAGGCCGTGTTTGGGGTCAGTGCTTTGCTCACCCTTCTTGGGGTTCTTTGGTACTTCATCATGAAACTGTGTAGGGTTAAGAAGTGGGTTTTCTTTTATGACAGTGAAGAAAATTACTGTGGTTGAGCATCACAAAGGAATTGCCAACTTTACTCCCCATGGGAGTTAGCATATGCCCCACAATGCCTGTGAAATTACATTTATATCCTCACTTGACTAACACTATGCGAGAAGGGTAAAGTGATAATTTCACTTGAAGGGACATGCATGTGTATATACAGGGAAACAAATGTGTGTGTGTGTGTATTTGTGTTGTTTCTCTCCTATTCATACATCTCAACCTCATAACCTCTACCTTGTAAGGCTCTGTTTGGCATTAACTTTAGCGTTTTAAAAATGTCATGCAACGATAGCTTTTAGCGTCGCCATTTTCAGAGTTAACCTGTGCCACTAAAAAAATACGGACTATCCAAAAAAACACGCGGGACAAAATGAGACACATGAAGTAATGTTAAACATTTTTTGTTCTGGGTGGCGAAAAACTAGAAGGATTAATGATGCCATTATGATGAACAAACGAAAATCAGAGTAGAGTTCAAATGATGTTCTGTCACACTGCAGGAATTAACAGAGAGGAAATGAACACAAAAAAATGAACAAAACAAAAAAAAAATTACACAAAACTTACCATTGCACAAATATGCTGTCTGGAGTGTGTCGGTCGGGGTGTTATCAGTAGTAAGTCCAACTCAAACAAAAACAAAAAAAATCACTTCTCCTTTCTCTACCAGCTTTTTATGAGACCCATCAGCAGTGAGGGTAACACATGACCATTATTTGGTTTAAAGGAAGTATTCTGGTGTTCTTCTGGTCACGTCCGGCTCCCCTCTCCTTGGAGCCGGCTCAAACTGTAAAAGAAAAAAAAAGGATAAAGACTAAACTATGAGTAAAACATGGAGAAAGTATTAAAACAGGAGCTCAATGTTTTTATCCCCAAAATAGGAGTTAAGATGTTGATAATGTCAACATATAGTACCAAAAGACACTATGGAATGCCAATATACATTGCCCATTTGCCACATGGGTTAAAAGTATGAAACTCCTATTTTTGGTACTATCTCTATGTTTTACTCCTAGCGGGGTAGATTTCTTAATATAAAAAAAAGTAATGGGCAATGCCTGTTGCAAGATAAATCGGGGGAGAAAATATTCAAGAAAAATAAAATAAAATAAAATCAGACTTTAAAAGCTAAAAGCTAGCCAAATAAGCTCTTCAATGAACACGACAGAGAATCACGCTACTTCTTTGGAAGTAGAGACAAATGCAGGGTAATGAATGTATGGGCATTGCATGTACCAAATGAAAGAAAAAAGAGATACCTGAATGAATGTATGGGCATTGCAGTCATCGACTTCTAGTATGGATGCCATATTCCCACACCGATAACAATAATTAGGTGCGCTGAATATAGTTACAACCTTTTTTTCCTGCAAGACATAATGAAAATATATACGTACTAATCATGTATCCCCCAGATTAGATTTATAACAGCAACACGAGTGTGAAATGACTTCTGAAAGAGAAATTTAAAAAAAAAAACAAAATTACATGTGCCCAATTGAATCCCTCCATGACCAGTTGATGTGCTCTTGCAATAAGCTTCAAGTTGTTATTGTAGTTGAATTGCTCCGATATGTCCTGTTAAGGTCAACAGATATGATAACATACATCAATTGAACTCACAGATGACGGATCATAAGATTACTTTATATAAAAGGATTCCTCTAGGAAGGTAATATCATGGCAAGTGATATTAGTAATTCCTTAAGGAGGACAAAAGATTAGAGATTCTTTTGAAACCGATCATGGGTGTCCAAGTGTTTTAATATGACACCCATTGTGAGTGTCGTAGTCATAATATGACACTCGTGCCATTTAAGGGCCCTACAATGCTCTGATCACGAAGTGGTTCCTACGTCCAAACCCCCAACCCCATGTTTTGACATATGCTACAGTAAATATTGTAGCATAACTGCAAAACAAGAGGGGCTAGGAGTTTGGGGGCAATAACAACTTTGGGTTAGAACAAAGTAACATATGGCCTTAAAAAATCACCATGTGTCATACTATGACACCCATGATGGCCTGATGGGTGTCAAAAGAACCTCGCCTTACGGATGAAGTCAGAAAAGTCTAAACTATTAACAATGTAATCACATTACCCCCGGCATGGAGATATAATTAGATTACCTTGATAATCCTAAATGCCCGAACCAAACACTGCCTTATATATTCTAAAAGGGGAAATGACGGTAAAAAAAAAGTTAGATTTACCTGGCCAAAGGTATAACCAGCACCTCTAGGTGAAATACCCCAACCAGAACGATCATCGGGATCAGACCATAAAAGATCACACATCGGCCCTTCATGTGGAACTTCTTGTACACGGTCAAAACTGCGAATACTGTCAAGAGTTTCGATAGATGGGGACAAACCACCATGGAGGCAAAATATTTCTGACTCAACCTAAATTTTGAAAACAATTGCAATCAATAATAGGAAGAGTAATACAAAAACCAATGATCTTAACAGCCAATTCAATCACAAATCATTACTTGAATATCAAGAAAACTAGCAAGCCTTGCTGAACTAAGCATGGGAAATAAATTAACATGAAAACAGATACGGTACTCACCAAGGCCGTTAGTGGAAAATAGTCAAACAGATCTGTGAAAATCTTCCACACATTAGCATTACCATATCTGTAAAATGCAACTGCAGTCAATCAACAACATATGCCGAATATGTAAAATGGACCAAAACCTTAAAAAACATAGCTGAACTATAGGTTTAACCTGGTATTCTGTCACTATGACCTAAAAAAATAGTATAGCATTAATAGCCTAATACAGAGCACTAAATAAATTTGACACCGTGTGGTTTGCTTAGATTGTGGCATTGTGCTAAACTTATCTCTACTATAAATTTAAAAAAAAAAATCATGTGCAAAGAAAAGGGCAAACAAATATGTACTAATTCAGTTTTCCTGCACCGTGAGAAAAGACATTTAAACGTCAAAATTGGTCATGATTTGGTGAACTCACTTCCTCAAGCATTCGTCATAAAATCCATAAACTTGAGTGATCTGCAAGAAAAAACAGAGGCCACCAACTCTTGTCAAAAGAACCCTGAATCTGCTACGAAATTAGAACAAAAGGCCCTCTAGGAATACAACTTCGTCGCAAATAATTTAATATATGTTCTGAATGCAGTATATGAAATAACAGGTCTCAACTACATACACATACCATATCCACGCATTGTGCCAGCATGAAAATGAAAGAGGATAAAATACATATCCAGCAAAGAAAAGATACATGGTATGATTTAATGATGTAAAAGGAAAATTGAAACAAATGAAAGGCTGGTAGGAATGCATTCGCATACCTGTCTACTCTCGTGATTTCCCCTAAGGATTGTAATTCGTTGAGGATAGCGAACCTTGAGGGCCACCAAAAGCTGGAAGACAAACAACTCATTGTCTAAAATATACCAAAGCAAACTAAAATAACAAATCACTCTGAAATTACCAGCCCCCTACCCAACCATAAAGTATACATAGAATTCTAAACAGAAACAGAATCACCACTAATTATTGGGAAATGATTTTTAAATTTTGTATTCCTTCTGTCCTATAATTATCTTCCTACTTTTTCTATTTGGATTGTCCCAAATTTTCTTCATGTTTCTTTGTAAGGAAAAAAGTGTGGTTCATCTTATTCCTCTTTCCTCTACACAAACCAGAACCACACACATTCTACTTTAATCAAAATTATGTCAAGTCAAAATAGGAAGAAATTTATGGGATGGAGGGAGAATTTGGTTAAAATTTGAAGACAGAAAGTAGGAATGTACCGTCACTGTTTCGACAGAATAATAACCACGGTCTACATAATCTCCCATGAATAAATAATTTGTATCTGGGCACTGCCAATAAGATAAAAGAATCAAGTATGATCAGGAGAGATAACATACACCACCTGCATCATTACATAATTGCATAGAAAACATGGTGTGATTTTCAAAAAAACTCACAATAGCAAGAAGACAAGTACCACATAAATATATGTCAACATTATATTTCATGTATTGTTTTGGAACTTTTGGTGTAATATAAGATCATTTTGACTTATTAGGAATACAATAGGATTACAGTGTTGCTAGTCTTGCCAGAACATCACTGAGCATTATTTTAGTGTTTATCAACAGCTACGATTAAAGCAGTTGCTAGAAAATAGAATTCAATTGTAAAGTTAGGTGGTAAAAGTTGTGGCTTGTGAGTATAACTTCTAGAGATTATGGGAACAGTTTACATGAATTTCCTTTTAAAGTAGGCATGTTTCTTCAATGAGAATTAACAAGATCATTAAAAATATGAAAAACATCAAGCACTGTGAGATTGCAAACAGCCCTATTAAGCTGAAAGAAAGCCGGGGTTAGAATTTGAGAATCTAAAAGTGGGGTCACTGATTATGATTATTACGCTTAAAAAAAGTGTGATTGAAGAGAAATCATCAATGCATATGTAATACATAAGAGCATTCAAATACCTTTCCACCAATTCGAAAAAGTTCGGCAAGATCATGAAACTGCCCATGAATATCACCACATATGGTTACTGGGCTTTTCACAGGCTGCAATAGAAAAAAATACAAACCCTTTAATCTTTTAAATATATTTTATTGACCTTACAAATATTCTATGAGAAAACTTCAAATAATGCACGCATGTTGAATATAAAGCAGACACAAATAATGACACCAATCCTATAGTGAATTGAAATGAGAATGCTGATTCCTATGAGATGGCTTCAGATAATCTAAATCTTACCTAATTGGAAAGCATAAATGATTTCAAAGATTTGTAAATACATGCTTTTACTAAATAGAAATAAAACTCTCACATTCACATCAAATACTGCAATCCAGGTAAGTATTGACAAGTCTTCGTGAAACTCTCATTTTAAAGAAGAGGCAGAGGTCCGCGGCTCCAGGGCCCGTGCGTCACCAAACCCAAGTATAAATACTCTGAATTAAAGTATCTATAAAGTGATAAAATATAGTTGCACTCTTGCACTGTAAAAAAGGTAAAGCCTCAAGTCCACAACGCATTTGGAATTTTGAATAATAAACAATTGGAGTTGAAAGTTCATCTAGAGCAGAAGAGTGCACATGCACTACCTAAAAAATCCAAAACAGAAGCCTTGACACTGCCCTACCCCAAAATCCAAACCCAAAAGTTGAGAAAATAAAGTATGAAAAGGAGAAAACAAACTACAGAAGAAAATATATAGCAGTGAAGAAGTAATCATGAGCCAGCATACCTGTACATTGCTCTCTCCCATGAGAACTTCCTTAGCTTTCTCACACAGCATTCTCACCTGAGATAAGTATAGAAGCAAAGTGGAAGATTATGGTAGAGAGAGTGAGACATTTCATGTGTGCGCATCAGAATGTGCATGTGCTAGTAATTGACTAATCGCACTTATGTTTCTGGCATGAAAAGTAAATGCAAACTACAAATCAAGCTTCAATTGAATATAAGCCTAAGTTTGGGATAAATGGATAATGATATCTTGTAGAGTTGTAGTAGATTTAAACATGCTTATTTCAACTCCAAAGCATGCATCCTTAGCAAATTATGTGATTAGCATGTTTTAGAGAATAGTTGTGGAATAAGTAAAAGCAATTTGGCCTCTACCTGCAGACTGCAACATAATAAAACGACCAAATATTTTTCCACATGTGGGATCTCGGGGCGGGGGTGGGGGTGGGGGTGGGAGTGTGCGCAAACCTTACCCCTGCCTAGAAAAAGTAGGGAGGTTGATTCCAATGGAACCCCTGCTCAATTTTGCCTCTATCCCTAAAAACTCAAATACGGTGCTCACCCGAAATGCTCTACTCACACAATCCATACTTAGAAGTTTAAAAACACGCACTGCAATACAGTCCTGAAGAAATCATCCCCAAACTAACAAACGTATAGACTATAAATTAGGGAATAATAAATTACACAGAAGCTAAGAGAGCTTATGCTGGTTGTTTCTACTTTCACCTAGTCTTCAGTTCTTGTTTAGTCGAATCCACATTGTCAGTGAGTAATATAGGAAAACAGTTCAAATATTCCAGTATTGAATGCAACTTCTGATTCCAGCGCATCAAATTCAAAGTTGAAGTTTGGTAACTTTAAATCAAAATTCATGTATGCAGCATGTGTGAACTTCTATTTACAGCTAAAATTTAGGCAGGAAAATCATTAGTGGGACAAATTTTGACAAAAAGTTTAAGTTTTGACATTCATAGTCTTTTCTTAAACGCCCAGAATCAAAGATAAGCAAAAGACCCAAATAGAACGAGCCACAAGAGATGGGTTTTTTTTAAAGGAAGACAGCAAAAATTCGCAAGCTCAAATTACAAATCCAAAAGTTTGAACCCAGAAATTGGATCAAGAAACCATAAGAACGGCGAAAAGAAAGTGAAGACGCCGGATCTGGAAAAAAAGTGAATTAACGCCCCGCACCTCTTGCTCGGATAAGGGTTTGCACTGCATGAGCTGAGCAATCTGTTCATCGAGGTTCCCGTGAGCGGAGCTCGACGGCACAGGATCCATCCTCTGAGCACTACGACGTCGTCTCTGATTCTGTAGCGGGCGGAGGTCTATGGAGAAGAAGGGAGGGAGATTTAGCCCTAGAATTTGGGCGATTCCGATTTGATGGTTTCCTAGCTTGATTGCCCCCCGCTCTACGACGTCGTTTATTTCTCCTCCGACCCGGAGCAAGAAACCGCACAGAGATGGCGAGCGGGAGTGGAGTGTGGTATGATGGTGCAACCGAAGACAAAGCATACCAATATATACAACTGTCTCTTTTTTTCAAGAAAATAAAATAGGGAGTAGTAGTAAAACTAGGAAAAATAATTTTATAAATTTGTTTTTCTAGAAAAAAAAGCATTTTGTGTCTATTCCATTAATGATCTAAAACTAATATAGACCGGGTCAAACCAATCACAACTATTTACAGATTTCATGGTCAAATGTTTTAGATCAGACATAATTCTCGAATAAGTTTTTGAGAGAAATCATACTAATTTAGTGTGCTCATTTGCAAATTTGAGACGCTTTGGGTTCATTAGGACAAATTGATATCTAGTCTAGCTTAAATCTTAAAAACGTGGGTCACTAATTAGACACGAGATAGTTCCGCTAATGTTATTTGATCGAGGGATCTGATCTCGTCTGCTATATTACAAACCACTCTCAATAGTAATTATTATGTATCAAGGGTTCTTAATGGAGTTTTTACCAGTTTCACCTTGTGAAGTAATATATATGTGGCTCCAAATCGACCACAAAAGTTAACTCAGAGGGTGAGAGTATGGAATGTATTATAAATCTCACAATATAAGCTTGCAAAATCGGTTTGGGAGTTGAACTCAATACAACCCCTCCCAACATCAATAACATGCATGTTGCTCTGATGCAATATGAAATAATAGACTTGAAACCAATCAAATTTTAAGAATTACTCCCTCCGTCCGGTATTAATGTTTACGTTTTGACTTTTGGTCATTTTTATTGATGGTTGACTCTAAGGTGAATTAGTCCAAAATACCCTTCCCATGTCTAGCTTCACCACACCACTAATTTCTGCAACCCCTTTGCCGCTAACCCCCCGTCTGCACCCTGTCTCCGGCAGCCTCCCTTCCTGGCCATCCCCCACCACAATCATTAGTTTCAACATCACTGCCACAGCACTTCCGTCGTCACAGCCAGGTCTGCCCCCCATCGCCTCCGATTCGTCCCTTATCACAACCACAACCCTACCACCGCTGCCAATCCCACCATCTCCGCCAGAACTCTGTCACCGCCGGCCCTCCATCACTGCTAGCACTTTCGCCGCCATCCCCCATCTCTGTGAGATTACAGATCTCTTTAGATCTAGAAGAAAGATGGAGAAGGATGATGATGAAGAAGAAGTCAGATCTACACAAAGAGAAAGAAGAAAAAAGAAAAGAAAAAAATGGGGTGCTGGGAGGAGAAGGAAAAGAGAGAAGAAAGAGTGAGGATAAGAGAGAATGAAGAGAAGGAGAGAGGTGCGGTGGAGAATAGAAAGGAACGGTGGGGGAAAAGATAAAGATTAAGGAAGGAAAAGAAGAAGAGAAAGAAAAGGTAGAGGGGTATTTTTGGAAGAGTATGGGTTAAAATTAGAAATGTAAACTTTATTTTCGGACGGAGAAAAAGGAAAAACGTAAACTTTATTTTTGGACGGAGGAAGTAACTCAAAGGGCCAGGATATCCAAACTATTATAAACAACGCAATATAAACTTACAAAGGACACGAAAGAGTTGGACTCAAGACATCCCCCTCACACGAGGTGCAAGTTATTGCTGGTGGTTCCAATTCAATGACATTAGCTCCAATTTTATGTGAAATAATAGTCTCCGACTTAATTTAATCCAAAGTTTAGGAAATCATTTTTTGTGTTGTTTGTAGTGACTCTCTAAAATGTTAGGTTGAACTAAATTTTGTCAATTCTTCACTTTAAACACCGTTCAAAATGTGTTTTGAAATATGGAATATAGAACATGCAACCATGTACAACATTTAGGAATCGAACAAGTCCAACTATGCCTCATGTTTCTTCCATTTCACAAAATAATTTCATTTACACTCATCACTCTTCCCATTTTACACATATACTTTCCATTAAAAGTTTAATTTACACCTACTTACCTAGTAGCTTGTGTTCAATTTATCATATCATATTTATTCATTAATAATCTACTCATCTCATCACAATTTTACAAAATACGTCTAAGTGCAAACTTAGAAAGTTAATATATACTTCTTAAATTTTTCAAAAAACAAAAACAAAATTATTTGTCAAAACGAATGAAGTATGTATTAAGATGCTTCGAGGATTCTTTTTACAGAGAGTAATTGTATTGCAAACCATTATCACTAACAATATTTGTTAGTGTGACACTCTAGTCGATAACAATTGTGGCTTAAAAATATAAACTATAGTTTTTGTTGGTTATAACTCAATTAGTAAGAATTTTATAACTAACGTCACAACTAATGCCAACGAACAATATGTCGTTACATCTAACAAATGCTATTAATAGTCTCAATTGAATTCATTTTATTTATTAATTATTCATAAGTACTTTGCTAATCTATTAATAAATAAAAGTAAATATGATAAATCACAAATTTTTGACATAGTGAGTGTTTGTTTGTGTCTATAAGTTGATCAAAACTACTTATAAACATTTTTTAATTTTTAAATCGACTGATAACATGTTTCTCTTTATTCATAACTTGAATTATAAATTTATTATAAGTTAGAAAAAATAAACAATTTTATCTACTTATTTTTAGATTAATTTTTTCATGTCTATATTTTTACCATAATATCTTACGAAATCATCCTCACTATTTATGAATATCCTCAAATAAGTTATCTATCATTAACATCATTTTATTTGTACAAAAAATAATTAATTTATAAATAATTTGTAAGTAAAATCTATTTATGAGTAACAAACAAATTTTCTCCATATCCCACCCATCTTCCTCAGTTCGGACAGTTTCATATCCGCCACACTCTCTTCCCATCTCAAACTCCTGATCGTACATGGCGCATTTGATCAAGAACTTCAAGGTCCCGCCGAACTCGACGAGCCTGGAGGAGGCTCGCCGGAGGACGTTCGACTTCTTCCGGATGTGCTGCAGATCCATTCCTCAGATCATGGAGATTTACAACTTGCAGGACGTCGTGACCCCCTCACATCTCCGCTCCTCCGTTGCTTCGGAGTTCCGCAGGAATTCCAAAATCACTAACCCTAAGGTAATTTTTATGTCTGTAAACGTTTAAAGGAAGAAAAAACCGGCAAAATCATCGATCTAGCAGTAGTTTAGTTCATTTGGGAAGTCAATTTAATTGTTCGCATGAAAATTAAATGTGAGCATAATTTAATTTCCGTCGACGGGGGGTTTGGGGGTTGGCGGTATTTGAAACACTCATTTGAAAATTAGCTCTTAATATTAGGCTTTAGCTTTAGATTTTAATTTAGTCTGGTGGAAAGTTTTTTTTGGTTTATTGTCCCTGATTTTTACTTTTAAAGGTTAGCATATAAGTTATCAAAACTGCTGGTTGTATTTTATGGCTTTATCAAGTTATGGTTAAATCTGTCTCTGAAAAGTGAAATCTTTTGAAGTTTCTTAGATATGGAAGGCAAAGGGATGACACAATTATGACGATTTGAGGGAATTGTTTTGGGGTTAGGAAATTTAGGGATGGTTGTATGTTGTTACTTCGTGGGGAACTGGGAACATTTAGAGCTTTCAGTTGGTTGCAAGATGGGGTTGAGGAATTGCGCCCATGCCGCCGCGATGGTGTCATGAACTTCGTGTTGCTTTAGAACCTAGGGATTTTTTTTTTGGGGGGGGGAGTGGTTTCATGTACATGACTACATGGAGCTTTTCTTTATATCCTTGAAACGTGTTGATGGATTCTAGGAACCGGGTATAGAGAGGAAATGCTTGGATTGATTTCAGAAAAAGTGAGAGTGATCCTTTTCCACAGGTCGGATAGAAATACTTTTAGACGAAGAAGACCTGTGCAGGTGCCAAAAGTCCAACAACCAAACAAATGAACTAGTGGGCCAGTCCAATAGGTTGAGTCGGTCGGGCTAACTGCTGCCCCTGTGGGCCTTCATTGCTTAAATTGCACATGACAAACCTGCCGGTCTAGCAGGGGCCGACCATGGGACACTTGTTCTCATAACTTCACATCATGCCTAGTCTGGCTGACCTCGGGCTCTAGTCCGAGTATTTGTTAAGGTCGGCCTACTCTTCTACGGGACCAGGCCTACTTTATTGGGCTCCGGCACTCTTCCTTGGGCGTGATACCCCTGGTCCAGAGTATCCATTAGGTATATAGTGGTTAGCAAGAGAGAGTTTAGTGGATGGAAACAAAAAAAGGAGCATCAAACTTTGGTATAGAAATCATATTTTTATGTTGAAAAAATTGGAGGAAAACGGGCAAAAACACAAATACATAACTTGTAGGATGTCAACATTGTGCCTAATTTTTTTGTACCATAAGAATTCTTATCCTCTATTGCTAGTGTGGGCTTCCATCTATCTATAAATCTATCTCATCATCTGCAACTCTCATATGTGGATCAATAGAACATTATTCAAAGGGGTTATGATGTTTAAGTTGACATATGGGAAAGTTATGATTATTTATTCAGAAAATGTTTCTACGGTGTAATAATGTGAGGACTTGAGGAGACCAATCCAATCGGAATGAATGTGATAAATAAATTACAAATATTGGAGGTTGTAAATGTGAGTAATGTGAAGATGTTGATACCACAGGACCAATAGATTGAGGGAGAGTACTCTTCTTGTTTTGAGATCCATATTCATTTTCTTATGAAATCTTTTCCTTTTTCTCTGATAGCTTTTATCATGGTTCTTTTGACACCCATCATGGGTGTAATAATATGACACCCATGACATTTGAAGGCCCTGTGGTGCTCCATTCTACTTTAAAATAGTTCCTACCCCCTCCCCACAAACCCTCTAGCTCTCCCAGAGCCCCTAGTTCACCATTATGCTTAGTGTAGCATAACGGGTAATCTGGGGGTAAGATCCACTTTGGGGTCAAACGGAATAATGTAGGACCCTCAAATGACTTGGTGTCATATTATGACACTGTCATATTATGACACTCATGACGAGTGCTAAAAGATTCCACCTCTTTAAAATAATACGGAGTACATCCATTAATATGAATTTTTCCCAAATGCACTTGGTTTCAATCAGGCATTAGCTTATCAACTTGAAAGATGTTTGCTTTCACAATGTACATTACTCAACCAGATCATTGGACTGTGAGCATTTTAGGAAGGCCATATAGCTGCGATAAAGGTGGTAATCACTTGCATTAATTTCAACTATTAGTGACCTATTAGGATATGCCTACTTTTACAGTTTTGATGATAGTCTTTGTCTCTTTGATCCTTTCATTTCCTTTTTAAAGATGTTACAGAGTGAACTATCAGATGCTGAGTTATAATACCCTCTCCCACTGTAGATGCAAATCCTGAAAGCTACTCCCTCCCCTGTACAACAACTTATGTACGGTTAAAAATTATTGTCAGATCATCTCTTATATTCAAGAAAGCATTTAATATTAATATCTCACCTTTGCATTTGAATTCTGAACTAAGTACTCGATCAATTTCCAAATAAGTGTCCAATCTGGAAATATTATATTTGTCCCCAAAAAACAAGTCCTATTAGATCAAAACTCGAAAGGATGTAATATTTATTATATTTGATGTACTTCGTTTGAAAAAAATCTCCCAAATAAGTTACGAAGCATGTTAATTTTAGCTGAATAAATACTCCCTCCGTCAGTCTGACCTCAAATGGATTTCCTATTGCAGTTAATGAAGCATGACTCTGAAGTTATTTTCAATTCAATTTAAATAAATATTGGTGTAAGCATTAAAAAAATTATATATTTAAGAACAACATCAAAGCTATATAAAACAAGATGTGACTTGACTGTTATTTTGGCAAATGGTTAACGAAAATAGGTAAAGAAAGAAGATATAGTTTGACATGTGAAAAGTGCACCGTGCCATCTATTTGGGGACAAAGCGAGTATAATCTAGCTAAACATAAAAGTAGTGCCTTTGTGAAACATGACTTTGGGGGGGGGGGGGGTAGGGAAGGGGGTAGTAGTATTTCTAATAGTTCCAGAAAGGGGGCACTCCATATTAAGTAAGGATAGTTTAGGTACAGCACTAACATTTTTTTGCTAGGTTTTAGTATGTTTAATGAGGTTTCTTAATGTACGTGCACAATCTTATGTGTGATGAAAATTGTATTGACTTTCCCATTATACCCATCAACCTAGTTGCCCTCTCCACCACCATAAGCCATCTATCGGTATTGCCCACGCCGGCGGCGGTTCACCGCCGACCACTCTTCGGCACCACTGCCGATGTTCTTGTCACCTCCCC